TTTCTTATTTTATCATATATATATGTATATATGTATATATGTATATATATATATATATATATATATATATACACACAAAAAATCTAAACCGTTTTTTTGAAATGCTATATAAATAAATAGATAAATAATAATCTCAGATAGGAACATAAGATGTAATGATCATACCAAACGGAGAGGGTACACCTAAAATGATGCCGTGAAGGGGAAAGCAAGTTGGACCGCAGCTTTGTTATTATAGGACGATACAGGTGTCCAATAGAGCATTAGTTAAAATGTTAAGATTTAATATTCGTTTTTAAGTTTTATTACAAAAAAATGTGTATTCAGTACATTTTCGACTGTCTTAAAATTTGGACCTTTTTCGATTTGGGGTGGGATGTTGGGTAGCGTACTCACCCACTCATATTAAAATTACGCTTTGTTAACATGTACACTTTACATAATGTATTAAATCAATCAAACAGTCAATTTTATTTTCTGAATTTATATTCATACCTCATGAAAGTATGAATGTCATAAAGTTTCCAAAAAGTGTTTTTAATCTAATGAGATTTATACCTAATTAGGCCTAACTTAACACAGATCCCAAAATGAAAATAGTTTGAATGTATTTCTCACTAGTTCAATCTCTTTTATTTCAGTGTCTCAAGTCAAATATTCCGATCCATCAATAATTGCGAAGTCTATGTACAATTATTGTCAGCAGATTGCCGGAACAGAAGATGCTATCAATAGCTGGATTTATGTTGACTTAATTCTACAAATAATCACGCGCGGATATTTATTATGATTTATTTCACTGGATCGCCGGAATTGAATCAAATTTTCCAATTATATTTCTTATACAACGAACAAGTAATTCTCGAACGATATTACATACTTAAATATAATTAGGCCCTAAGCATTATATATATTATATTATATTATATAAAAATAGAATCTTTATATTCTATTTATATTACGTTTATATAGTTCCGATGTAACATTTCCGAATAATATGTAAGAATAAAAGTAAACTGTAGTGTAATACATCATTGTGTGTACTTCCTTTGTCGTAATTGCATTAATAATAATATTATATATTTCATGATTATTAATCAGTATATAATCAAATTAAATATATTATAATCACTTCGATTCGAATATAGCACTATTACAGGCTACTATATCTTATAAACACTCTTTCCTAATATATTCACATGACACCAACAAATTATGAAACTTTTCAGAGCAAGGTGCTGTCGAATTATATAAAACAGGAAATGACGTCGGTTGCTAGGCTACAGCTCATGCATATTCAGTAACACCTGTGCTCATTAGACTAACAATAAAAACTTTTAGCTCAGTTTTGACAAAATCGACCAAAAAGATTTTATTGTTAGTCTAATTAGAACAGGTGTCACTGAATATTCATGAATATGCATGGTGTTGCTTAGCAACCACGTCATTTCCGGTTTTATGTTTTTGTTGAGGGCGTCCTCAAAAGTAGCACATATTGATGAAGCAATTCTTCACTTTTGGTTTAACTTATATAAGCTTATTATAATAAGGATATTTTAGCTATTGAATTTATTACAATAAACA